TCTTGATGGGTTTTTTGTTTTTGGGTATTGGTTTTCAAGAATGTGGAGAGTGGAGAGGAGGAAAGTGATGGTTTTAAGTGTGAAGTGTAGTGTACGGTGTGTAATGAATGAAGTAAAAGGAAAATTGGGGGAAGGAGACAGATAGTACATTTGAAGCAGGTGAAAAACAGAGGTAAAAGGGTTCTGTAGTAATTAAAGGACCACAGAAGGTCCACACAGTCACAACCACTCGTCTGTTGTTGCACACATGAAAGATGATCGTACGTGGGTTTGGTTTGTAGTGAGCAGAAAAGTGTGAGGGCTTATGTGCAATTTTGTGTTCTTGTAAGAGTGTGGACTTTTGCTTAACATAATAATGGGAAATGGAGCTGCTACTACTATATAGACATGCCCACAAGAAGAACTGGCCCATTGATCGTGGGCCTTAAACTGGCCCGGGTAAAAGTTCATGATTCTTGGCAATTTGAACCGATGGTTCGGCATTTTTGTTGCAATTTATGACTATTATTATTATTATTATTTATTTATTTTAATTTATTGGTTCGGCTCGGAACTAGCAAGCATAATAGGTTCAGGCAAACCACGAAGCGGGTTTCGGGCTTGGAATTGCTAAATTTAGTAAGTGTATTATGAGGTTAGTTAGGTGGGATAATCAAAAGCTACAATGAGAACAAAAATACAGATGAGTTGATTTTCTTGTATTAGGTCCTTTATGGTGCTTTGCATAACTCCTATAAATGAGCTCGAGCAGCTAATTGAGCTCGTAAACAAGTCGAGCTGAGGTCGTTTGATTTTTTTATTATTTTTTAGAGGGTTCGAACGAATAGTCGAGCCGAGAATGTTCGTGAATGTACAAATCATCTTTGCGAATGTTGTGTTTATGACGCTAGGTTTGTTATGATGGGTCCAGCCAAGCCCACAAATATAGAAAAAGGAAGCAAACAATTTTAACAAGCAACTTGAAGCAATTAATGAGCCGAAAATTGAGGCTGCTGTGGGAAGCAAAATTTGACAATTTGGAGCATTCATCATCTATAAATAGCACCCATTCCAAGTGCTGAAGGACGCACCAAACAGAAAGAAAAAAAGAGAGAACAAGAGAGAGCAAGATAACAAGAATAATATTTCTGTGAGTGTTATTTTTCAGTGAGAGAAAAATAGAGTGTTTGAGTAAATCCTGTGAGTGTGGGAAAAATACACCGGGTCGGGTATCATCTCTATTACTCCTTGTTTGTAATATTTGAATAGGAGTGGGGTCTCACTGGGTCACTATATTTTACATTTCTAGTATAGGGGAGTGTGAAAAGATATTGTAATTATCTTGAAAATATAGTGGAATTGTTCGGAGGTTGTCCCGTGGTTTTTTCCTCTACTTTGGAGGTTTTTCCACGTTAAATCTTGGTGTCGTTTTTCTTGCATATTTTATTTATTTGGGATATTCTTAGTATGCTCTGTGGTCGCAGTTTAATCTGATCTTCCACATCAGAAAAGAATTATTCCTATTTTATTGCAAGAGATTTTCTTTTGTCATTCTTGAGTTGCTGAGATTATTATAATTATTCACCATTTTACTCCGGTATTTTAATTTACACCTTCCGCATTTGCGCATCTGAGCCCAACATGTGGTATCAGAGCTCAAGTTGGGCTCTGTATCAACCAGTGTAAATTAAATGGAGGAGAACGTGGGTACCATGGTGAAGCTGACAGCAACAAATTACTCCATTTGGAAGCCAAAAATGGAGGACATACTTTTCTACAAAGATCTGTATGATCCTGTAGAAAAGGGAGATAACAAGCCAGATGACGTGAAGGATGACGATTGGAAAAAGTTACACAGGAAGGCTGTCAGTTTAATCAGACAGTGGGTGGATATCAGCATATTCCACCATGTTGCCACAGAGTCAAAAGCCCATACTCTGTGGAACAAAATTGAGCAGATGTATCAAAGGAAGACTGCACAAAATAAAGCTTTTATTATTAGAAAGCTTGTGAATTTAAAATATCGGGATGGAAGATCAGTTGCAGAACACTTGAATGAGTTTCAAGACATGGTAAACCAACTTGTTACCATGGAGATGAAACTTGATGAAGAACTGCAGGCGCTGTTACTTTTGAGTTCTTTACCGGATAGCTGGGAGACTCTGGTGGTCTCGTTGAGCAACTCTGCTCCTGAAGGAAAACTGACTTTGACCCAAGTCAAAGACAGTATGTTTAATGAAGAAACAAGAAGAAAAGATTCAGGAGCAAGCAGCTCCCAAGCCCTGGTCACAGAAACCAGGGGGAGAAGTAAAAGCAGAGGCCGGAATAACAAATCCAGAGATAAATCACAATCTCAACCCAGAAGAAAATTCAAATGTTATCACTGCGGTGAAGAAGGGCATATCAAAAGAAACTGTAAAGCCTGGAAGAACAGAGATCGGAGGAACAACAAATCAGAGAACGATGAAAATACCGCAACCCCTGTGATCAATGGGGAAGTGGTGTTGCTCTCTGTTGAAGAAGAAGAGTGCCATGTTGCAGATTCATGTGTTGAATGGGTCATTGACTCAGCAGCATCATACCATGCAACCTCTCACAAGGAATTCTTTTCTCTATACAAAGAAGGAGACTTTGGTAGAGTAAAGATGGGCAACGACAGCATTGCAAATATTGTGGGAGTTGGTGATGTGTGCATTCAAACTGATATTGGGTGCACAATAACACTGAAGGACGTGCGACATGTACCTGACTTACGTCTGAATCTGATCTCTGTGCATGCATTGGATCTAGCAGGCTACACTAACAATTTTGGTAGCGGCACATGGAGGCTTACCAAAGGATCATTGTTAGCTGCTAGAGGTACAGTGAGATCGACACTGTACAGAACTCAAGTGAAGCTGATCAAAGGTGGCCTGAATGCAGTCGAAGATGATGCTTCGCCAAATTTGTGGCACAAAAGACTGGCTCACATTGGTGAAAAAGGATTGCAAATTTTGGCAAGAAAGTCCCTCATCCCGTTTGCCAAAGATTCAAAACTAAATCCTTGTGATCATTGTCTCTTTGGGAAGCATCATAGAGTGTCTTTCAGCAAAACCTCGAAGCTGAAAGAGAATGTGTTGGAGATGGTGTATTCTGATGTATGTGGACCCATGGAAGAGGAGAGTCTCGGTGGTAGCAAATATTTCGTGACGTTTATTGATGATGCTTCACGAAAATTGTGGGTGTATTTCTTGAGAACGAAGGACGAAGTTTTTCAGTACTTCAAAAGGTTTCACGCTATGGTGGAGAGACAAACTGGTAAACCTTTGAAGTGTCTTCGCTCAGATAATGGAGGGGAATATACTTCCCATGAATTCAAGAATTATTGTGCTGATCATGGAATCAGACATGAGAAGACTGTACCTGGAACCCCACAACATAATGGTGTGGCTGAAAGAATCAATAGAACCATTATGGAGAAAGTGAGGTGTATGTTAAGAATGGCTAAGTTACCTAAGCCATTCTGGGGTGAAGCTGTTCTAACGGCGTGCTACCTGATCAACCGATCTCCATCTGTTCCTTTGGGCTTTGATATCCCTGAGAGAGTATGGTCCGGACATGATGTTAAATACTCTCATTTGAAGGTGTTTGGATGCAAAGCTTTTGCTCACGTAAGCAAGGAACAGAGACGAAAACTTGATGATAGAGCCATTCCTTGTATATTTCTGGGCTATGGAGATGAGGAATTTGGCTACAGGTTATGGGATCCAGAAAAACGAAAAATTGTCAGAAGTAGAGATGTAGTATTCCATGAGCAAGAAACTATGTCTGATTCTGCTTCACCAGAAATCAGAGAACCAGGTGGTAAGGTGGATCTTTCACCTGTAGAACCTCCTAGAGATGCCACAGTAGGGGGAGAGTATGATGGAGAACTCAGGGTTGATGATGAACCAGCAATAGAAGATGGTGATGGTGAAGGTGTCGAGCAAGAAGACCTCGAAGCTCTGCCTCAGCTCAGGAGATCAAATCGAGCGATCCAACCATCTACGAGGTACCCTAGTTCCACGTATATTACCATCACGGAAGAAGGGGAGCCAGAAAGCTTTGGAGAAGTACAAACTCATAAGGATAAATCCCAGTGGATGAAAGCTATGCAAGAAGAAATGGATTCACTGGTGAAAAATGAAACTTATGAGCTTGTGAAGCTTCCGGAAGGCAGAAAAGCCTTGAAAAACAAATGGGTGTTCAAGCTTAAGAAAGATGGTGACAAGCTGTTGAAGTACAAGGCTCGCTTAGTCGTGAAAGGATTTGGACAAAAGCGAGGGATAGATTTCGATGAAATCTTCTCACCGGTTGTAAAGATGAGCTCTATTCGAGTAATACTCGGATTGGTAGTTAGCTTAGATTTGGAGCTTGAACAACTAGATGTGAAGACTGCATTTCTTCATGGAGACCTAGATGAAGAAATCTACATGGAGCAACCAGAAGGATTTGAGAAGACTGGAAAGGAGCACATGGTTTGCAGATTGAAGAAGAGCTTGTATGGACTGAAACAAGCTCCAAGACAGTGGTACAAGAAATTTGACTCGTTTATGGCGAGCCATGGATATACGAAGACTGATGCAGATCATTGTGTGTTCATTAAGAAATTTCCAGGTGATAAATTCATTATCCTTTTGTTATATGTAGATGATATGTTGATAGTGGGACATGATATGAAGCTGATTGGTGATTTGAAGAAGGATCTAGCAAAGTCCTTTGAAATGAAGGATCTAGGCCCGGCGAAACAAATTTTGGGCATGCAGATAATGCGAAACCGAAAATCCAAGAGGTTATGGTTATCGCAAGAACGGTATGTGAATCGGATTCTGGAGAGATTCAACATGAAATCGGCTAAGCCGGTCAATACACCGTTGGCCAATCACTTCAAACTCAGCAAACGAAGTTGTCCTACGAGTCAAGAAGAAAAAGAAGCTATGGCGGGTGTTCCATACTC